GTGCGTGGAGAAGTTGCGCAGTGGCAAAATTTGGCATTGTACTTTTTAGACGTCTATAGGCTTCATAATAAGCGATAATAAAGTCTGATTTCTTGATAAAATCATTCCTCGCCATCAATATCAACTGATTATTACATGATTAGTATTCATTTTTCCGGTTTTATCCCTTTTCTCACCGAAAATCTGCGGACGAACGCCAAGCCGCCCATTCTCTGCCAGTAGCCGGCCGCCATGATGAATGTGCGTGGAGAAGTTGCGCAGTGGCAAAATTTGGCATTGTACTTTTTAGACGTCTATAGGCTTCATAATAAGCGATAATAAAGTCTGATTTCTTGATAAAATCATTCCTCGCCATCAATATCAACTGATTATTGCATGATTAGTATTCATTTTTCAACTCGGTCTTCAACTCGGTCTTTCAATTGAAGGCCCGAGTTGTAGGCCCGAGTTTGTAGCAGCGATGTCAGACAAGATATGAATGTTTTTTTGGGCTCAAATGAAAGAGCGGGTCGAGAAATGACGTGCTAGAGCCTCTAAACATGACAAATGTCTCTAAAGATGATATCTGTTTTCAATTGAAAAGCAGAGTTGTGACATCATTGTCTAGGAGGACAATGGGGTCTAGGAGTATGTATAGAACATTGGGTTCTAAGAGTCTTCCCTGGTTTAAAACCATCTTTAGAGGTCCTAGCACGTCATTTCTCGACCCGCTCTTTCGTTTGAGCCCCAAAAAACATTCATATCTTGTCAGGCATCGCTGCTACAAACTCATGTCTACAACTCGGCACTTCAACTGAAAGCCCGAGTTGAAGACCCGAGTTTGTAACAAAGATGTCAGACAAGATATGAATGTTTTTTTGGGCTCAAATGAAAGAGCGTGCCGAGAAATGATGTCCTAGAGCCTCTAAACATGTCAAATGTCTCTAAAGATGATATCTGTTTTCAATTGAAAAGCAGAGTTGTGACATCATTGTCTAGGAGGACAATGGGGTCTAGGAGTATGTATAGAACATTGGGTTCTAAGAGTCTTCCCTGGTTTAAAACCATCTTTAGAGGTCCTAGCACGTCATTTCTCGACCCGCTCTTTCGTTTGAGCCCCAAAAAACATTCATATCTTGTCAGGCATCGCTGCTACAAACTCATGTCTACAACTCGGCACTTCAACTGAAAGCCCGAGTTGAAGACCCGAGTTTGTAACAAAGATGTCAGACAAGATATGAATGTTTTTTTGGCCTCGGGTCTTCAACTCGGGCCTTCAATTGAAAGCCCGAGTTGAAGACCCGAGGCCAAAAAAACATTCATATTTTGTCGGGCTTTCAATTGAAAGCCCGAGTTGAAGACCCGAGGCCAAAAAAACATTCATATTTTGTCGGGCTTTCAATTGAAAGCCCGAGTTGAAGACCCGAGGCCAAAAAAACATTCATATCTTGTCTGACATCTTTGCTACAAACTCGGGTCTTCAACTCGGGCCTTCAATTGAAGACCCGAGGCCAAAAAAACATTCATATTTTGTCGGGCTTTCAATTGAAGGCCCGAGTTGATGACCCGAGTTTGTAGCAGAGATGTCAGACAAAATATGAATGTTTTTTTTGGGCTCAAATGAAAGAGCGGGTCGAGAAATGGCGTGCTAGGGCCTCTAAAGATGGTTTTGAACCAGGGGAGACTCCTAGACCCCACTGGACAATGTCGTCACAATTGCGCTTTTCAATTGAAAAAGGACATCATCTTTAGAGAGATTTGTCATCTTTAAAGACTTCTGCACGCCATTTCTCGACCCGCTCTTTCATTGGAGCCCAAAAAATCATTCATATCTTGTCTGACATCTTTGCTACAAACTCGGGTCATCAACTCGGGCTTTCAATTGAAAGCCCGAGTTGATGACCCGAGTTTGTAGCAAAGATGTCAGACAAGATATGAATGATTTTTTGGGCTCCAATGAAAGAGCGGGTCGAGAAATGGCGTGCTAGGGCCTCTAAAGATGGTTTTGAACCAGGGGAGACTCCTAGACCCCACTGGACAATGTCGTCACAATTGCGCTTTTCAATTGAAAAAGGACATCATCTTTAGAGAGATTTGTCATCTTTAAAGACTTCTGCACGCCATTTCTCGACCCGCTCTTTCATTGGAGCCCAAAAAATCATTCATATCTTGTCTGACATCTTTGCTACAAACTCGGGTCATCAACTCGGGCTTTCAATTGAAAGCCCGAGTTGATGACCCGAGTTTGTAGCAAAGATGTCAGACAAGATATGAATGATTTTTTGGGCTCCAATGAAAGAGCGGGTCGAGAAATGGCGTGCTAGGGCCTCTAAAGATGGTTTTGAACCAGGGGAGACTCCTAGACCCCACTGGACAATGTCGTCACAATTGCGCTTTTCAATTGAAAAAGGACATCATCTTTAGAGAGATTTGTCATCTTTAAAGACTTCTGCACGCCATTTCTCGACCCGCTCTTTCATTGGAGCCCAAAAAATCATTCATATCTTGTCTGACATCTTTGCTACAAACTCGGGTCATCAACTCGGGCTTTCAATTGAAAGCCCGAGTTGATGACCCGAGTTTGTAGCAAAGATGTCAGACAAGATATGAATGATTTTTTGGGCTCCAATGAAAGAGCGGGTCGAGAAATGGCGTGCTAGGGCCTCTAAAGATGGTTTTGAACCAGGGGAGACTCCTAGACCCCACTGGACAATGTCGTCACAATTGCGCTTTTCAATTGAAAAAGGACATCATCTTTAGAGAGATTTGTCATCTTTAAAGACTTCTGCACGCCATTTCTCGACCCGCTCTTTCATTGGAGCCCAAAAAATCATTCATATCTTGTCTGACATCTTTGCTACAAACTCGGGTCATCAACTCGGGCTTTCAATTGAAAGCCCGAGTTGATGACCCGAGTTTGTAGCAAAGATGTCAGACAAGATATGAATGATTTTTTGGGCTCCAATGAAAGAGCGGGTCGAGAAATGGCGTGCTAGGGCCTCTAAAGATGGTTTTGAACCAGGGGAGACTCCTAGACCCCACTGGACAATGTCGTCACAATTGCGCTTTTCAATTGAAAAAGGACATCATCTTTAGAGAGATTTGTCATCTTTAAAGACTTCTGCACGCCATTTCTCGACCCGCTCTTTCATTGGAGCCCAAAAAATCATTCATATCTTGTCTGACATCTTTGCTACAAACTCGGGTCATCAACTCGGGCTTTCAATTGAAAGCCCGAGTTGATGACCCGAGTTTGTAGCAAAGATGTCAGACAAGATATGAATGATTTTTTGGGCTCCAATGAAAGAGCGGGTCGAGAAATGGCGTGCTAGGGCCTCTAAAGATGGTTTTGAACCAGGGGAGACTCCTAGACCCCACTGGACAATGTCGTCACAATTGCGCTTTTCAATTGAAAAAGGACATCATCTTTAGAGAGATTTGTCATCTTTAAAGACTTCTGCACGCCATTTCTCGACCCGCTCTTTCATTGGAGCCCAAAAAATCATTCATATCTTGTCTGACATCTTTGCTACAAACTCGGGTCATCAACTCGGGCTTTCAATTGAAAGCCCGAGTTGATGACCCGAGTTTGTAGCAAAGATGTCAGACAAGATATGAATGATTTTTTGGGCTCCAATGAAAGAGCGGGTCGAGAAATGGCGTGCTAGGGCCTCTAAAGATGGTTTTGAACCAGGGGAGACTCCTAGACCCCACTGGACAATGTCGTCACAATTGCGCTTTTCAATTGAAAAAGGACATCATCTTTAGAGAGATTTGTCATCTTTAAAGACTTCTGCACGCCATTTCTCGACCCGCTCTTTCATTGGAGCCCAAAAAATCATTCATATCTTGTCTGACATCTTTGCTACAAACTCGGGTCATCAACTCGGGCTTTCAATTGAAAGCCCGAGTTGATGACCCGAGTTTGTAGCAGAGATGTCAGACAAAATATGAATGTTTTTTTTGGGCTCAAATGAAAGAGCGGGTCGAGAAATGGCGTGCTAGGGCCTCTAAAGATGGTTTTGAACCAGGGGAGACTCCTAGACCCCACTGGACAATGTTGTCACAATTGCGCTTTTCAATTGAAAAAGGACATCATTAGAGAGATTTGTCATCTTTAAAGACTTCTGCACGCCATTTCTTCTCGACCCGCTCTTTC